TAATAAAAATTAGTAAAGTCCTCAGGTATGGCGAGATCAGGGAAATAAGGATTCATTTTTATATGGAGGATATTATAGATTCCAGTTCAAATTGAATAGGTACTCATACATAAGATAGGTCAGCTATACAAAATAAAGTAGTGCATCAAACCTACGCTAAGGCGGTACGAAGTTCGCCGGGTCAGCTAGTATTTAATGAAAACTTTTTTCAAAATTTTAAATTTTCGTTTCTTCACTCGTAAAACACATACCTCAGAAATGTGTGACCAATATTGTCTTCCCTTTCGAAGCAATGAAGGGCTTCCTTGCTTTGAAAGGTACGTAAAGCCGCTAATTAATAATTAAAATAATTCGATGGACGGCTGCAATAGCTTCGAGGGGCGGCTGCAAGTAATTTTAACAGATAAAAAGTGCATTATGGACCCTGTAGGGTATCGCAATTGGAAGAGGATAAGACGTATTATAAGTAAGAGGCGAGACTTGGTTCCACTCAACTTTATTTGGAGCTCTGTCCTTACAGTCTTGTGGAATTTACTTAGCTCACTACTTATCGCGAGTATGAACAGAGCTGAACTGACTGCTTGTCCAGGGATCTGGATTATTTATGTAAAGAAATGGTTAACAAAAACTCGCCTACACATTTCGGGGAAATGGCACAAACAATTATCTTATTAAAGAAAATATAACTAGAAAAAATTCCACGCGGGCCAGGCAGCAGACAGGACTCGAACCCCGCACCCTTCGGTATCCGGGCGAATGCACTGACCAATTATGCTTCCGCAGCCCTAACGGACCGCGTCGAAATTCTTCTAGCCATTCTTAGGCTGCAAGGCAGCGCCATCTCTTCGCATTATAGGTAACCCACAATAAAAAATAAAATAAAAAAATATATAATTATCTAACAGTTAAGGAATAGGAATAGAAGGTTTACAATAGGTTATATGGCTTACAAATAAAATGAACATTATTTTAATGGCTAAGGATGAATACTTAACCTAAACAACATTACAATACAATTTTAAAGGAGGGTAATAAAATATTAAGGCTACATAATACAAAAGAAATAGTGATAAGGATATAACTCAAATGAGTTTCTGCAAATATTAACAATAGTCCAGATGGCTGACCCTGACAGTCATTGTGGAATGGCGGGAATGTGGGAATTACGGTGTGACAACATTACAGACGTCTTATTCATAATTCCTTATTGTAACATATTTTTCTATTTCCATTTCTATTTTCCTACTACTCCAATAAGATATTGTAAAATGAGATTAATGATTAAAAATCATTTTACTGTGGTCTTGTGTAAGGTGAAAGTTACTTCCCCAGTCGGGCGCTTCAGTTCAACCGGAAAACCCGCTATGCCTTACCTCTCTTAGGCCCGTATTATAGAAAGACTAGCAAACCAGTGAACCAAATGTTCACCAAAAAAAAAAATGTATTTAATTAATTGAGAACTTCGGAGATTTTGTGTGGTTTCGTTTGAAATAGAAATCACGTGATTTCTCGAAAACCGGAAGTGCTACGTTACTCACATCCGGTTTGTAGTTTTATCAGACTATTCTTAACTTATAACTTAAACATTCTCTATATCTATCTCTTACGGTTTGGCCGCTGAAACAGCACCACGGACGGACGGACGGACTTGTCTAATAGATAAGAGATTCTCAGTAATTAATCTAGTCTTGAGCACAGATGGAAAGGGATGTCGCTATATTGAGCACATAGCGACATCCCTTTCTAACTCAAGTAAAGATTAACACTTAGTTGTCATTCTGTAATACGGGCCTTAGATTGGTGTCTGAGAGTTAAATTTTCATAGAATGCGTATTTCAGTTACGCTTGACATGTATGTTTGAACTAGTTGTGCCCCGCCGTGTTACCCGCGGCTTATTAGGGATATTTTCCCGCTGTAAAACGTAGCCTATGTGTTAATCCAGGGTGTCAGCTAACTCCAGACCAAATTTTATTAAAACCGCTCCAGCCGTTTAGACGTGAAGGAGTAACAAACATACACACATCACACACTCACAAACTTTCGCCTTTATAAGATTAGTGTTATTATTCTAAACAATGAGGGCTACCGTTTTCTGCCTCACCAGATGGCGCCACTGTTGAGTGAGGTCCTAAATTGTAACTTTTAAAGTTTATTAATACGCACATGAAATTAAAGGTTACATTTAGATCGTATTTTAACACAAAAGAACCATATCCTAAACATAATAGGCCATGCCACAGTGACGCGCAGTTCCGTTTTATTCGGAAAAAATGGGAACATAATCATTTTTCTAAGCTCAAATTTTTAATAACTGACATTCATTGCCACATAACTCATATTTGCCATAATTAAGCCGAATTGTTACCAATTATTCACAACGTTATTTTAATTAGAAATAAACCCGCGTAGTCAACCAACAAGCAATAACATTTGACATTTCGGAGACCTCACGCTACACTAGCGCCTCTAGCGGCGTATTCATACGCGATAGCCCTCATTGAAAAAGATGGATTGATGTGTTGAACTGGTGTAAGCCTTCATTTGAATTAGGAATGCTGGTGCAAGTGGCAGTGGCGGATTAACAGGGGGGCGGAAGGGGCGGCCCGCCCCAGGCCTCCGATCTTGGGGGGTCCCCAAATGCCTCCGCGTTCCCCTGATCAAATCCTAAAGTAGACTTTAAAAATGTGCTTAGTACCTACATAATTTCATCAAGATCAAAACACTACAGCCATCTAGACTTTTTACGCGGTACTAATATTGTTTTTACTTCGCTGAACGCGTCCAATACGCTGGGGGAATTCCCGTCTCTGTAGCGGGTACTTCCTCAGGAATCCCTGAATGAATGAAGTACAAATAATTCAGTCTTGTACGCCTACATTTATTAACATTCACTATATTTACGTCGAAAAATAAACATTGGCCTCATTTAAAATCCGTTCAAAGTAACCTCATTAAAAAGTGTAATATGTAGTGTTTTTGATTTTTGTTGCGGTATAAAAGTAAATGAGTTTAGAGTTGAGTTAGTGCATTAGAGCTGTAGCAAACCGTATGTATTCGGTACTGAGTAACGGGTGCGCCATCTAGTACCGAGTAACGAAACGTTACACACTAATAAATTCCGTTACTCGCATTTTTCGTAGTATCTATGTGTTTCAGTTAACGCAAGTACAGTTGATGTGTGTATAGAAACATTTTCTGATCGTATGTTTGAGCATGCGCGAGCATATTCGGAGAATTTAAAAACGTACGTTGGTGTTTTTGATGGGATTTCATCGAGTGCGGTTGGCGTCTTATTTTAATTATTCTTAAATTCGTTCATAGTGGATATTGTGAAATAAAATTGGTGTGATTTTGTGTTACAACCTTCTGCGTAACTGAAGAATTAGTGGAATCGTTAAAATATACGCTATTCCGGTCAAATGGACGTGCGTGTTGACTACCTCACAGAAGCTTATCGAAAAAGCCAACTTGAAAGATTTTTTTTTTTTTATAATTTTATTTTGAGAATAAAATATTTTTGTTGTAGTTCTTTCTTTCGTTATGTTTAATTTCATTCTAAGCAAAACTATTTTTATGTTGATTTATCGTTACAATGCTATTTAAGTATTATTATTATCAATACAATAATTTTCGACACCTATTTGTTGCTTTATCATTATAATTGATGAATAATGGATTACGATGTTATTGTGATATAACATAAGCTCACGTTTAAAAACAGCAAAACCGATTTTTTTATGAGAAGTAACGAGTAACGTAACGATACTATAGTAACGAGTACTGGTTGTTAAAGTAACGAATACATACGGTTACGCTTTTTTTCGTTACTTTTACACCTCTATAGTGCATTTTTAAGTATTTGGAAAAAGTAAGTAATTCTTCGTTCAATTTAGCCTAGAAATCATAATCCGTAGTATCTAGTCAATATGCACTACGTTTCTAGTCGATATGTTCCATATTGTAGGTATATATGTTTATTTAGCCGAAATAATTTAATAGGAATTTAAATTTCATTTGGGGGGCCTCATTCAGCTTTGCCGCCCCGGGCCTCTGACGAGCTTAGTCCGCCACTGGCTAGTGGCCCTATGCCTCACTGGACACACATCCGATTCGTAAATGCGGCACTTTGCTGTGTTTCCCAAAAGAGGTTGTGTTGAAAGGTTGTTTAAACATGGATGTCCCGCGGGGGCGACGAACGAGTGTAGCCTAGGCTATGTTATTTGAATCGTTCCACTGTTACGTGGAGGCAAAATGGACGATCGAACGAACGAATGAGCAATGAATTAACTATTTTATACCTTATAATTTTTATTATTTTAAAGCATGTAACTGCTTGATGTTTAAATCTAAATAAAATATAACTAGAAAAAAAATGTAATGTTGAAAGTTATGTATGTTTAAATGTGCGTTTCTCTATTGTAACAATAGCTTCTAAATCCCTGAACAGATTTTTGATGAGCATCGTTAGAATCCTTACACCACGAGTGACACTATGAATTTTTTAACAAAATCTAGGCCTTGGATATTGGCAACATTTTCAAAAGGCAATAAAATATACTAATGCGTGTTACATAATAGGTATGTTTTTATTTTTTAAGCATTTAACTGCTAGATGTTTAAATCTAAAGAAAAGTTTACTAGAAAAAAATTCACGCGGACCAGGCAGCAGTCGGGAATGGAACCGTAGGTTACCTACAATGTCATGACATTGTGAGTTACCTACATTGCGAAGAGATGGCGCTGCTTTGCAGCCTAAGGCTAGAGAAAATTCGACGCGGCCGTCAGGGCTGCGGTAGCATAATGGTCAGTGCATTCGCCCGGAAAGCGAAGGGTGCGGGTTCGAGTCCCGTCTGCTGCCTGGTTCGTGTGGAATTTTTTCTAGTAAACTTTTCTTTAGATTTATACATAATAGGTATTTTTCGCCCACAGTAAAAAACAGGTATAATTAATTGATTGTCGATGAAATTTTATTAAAAATATAATTTCCAATTTTTAACAGAACATCCCCATCCCATCGCAAGACAGTTCAGCGAGCGACAAACGCCGGGCGAAACGGTTAGCAAGGAAAAAGTCTTATTGATACGAAAAACATATAATTTTCTCCGAAAAAAAATTATGTCTCCGGAACTAATGTGCCACTAAATCTTGCAATTTATTTGTGATAAGAACAAAATAGCAGGAAAATAAAGCTTAAGAAACTGAGAGCGTTTTGATTCATTTACGGGGAGCCTAAGTGTCACCGCACGGGCCACCGACCACAACCACGAAACCATCAATTCGAAGAACTTTTTCTTTGTCCTTCGCGAGGCAAAACAGTTCAGCGGCATTGTTCATGCCGGTCCACTCGCGAATATTTCGCAGCCATGACTTGTTTATCGGCCTTAATGTCGCCGCACACGGGCCACCGACCACAACTACAAAACGCCGCCACCGGCATATTTCTTGAAGTTTTCATACATTTTATATGGACTCGCCACACACGGTATGCCGGTGGCCGCCACACGCTACAAATCGTCGTTGCTCGCTTCTTGTGGCCCGCACCGGCCACTTAATGCGCCGATACAAAACGCCGCCACACGTCACTCGCGCGATTCTCTCTCCCTTACCTTAGTCGGCCGCTGTCGCGCGCTTCAGCCACTTTAGTAGCCGCTTCTAGCTTCTCGTGGCGGCGTTTGTGGCTGTGGCGTGTGACCCGTGTGCGGCGACACTAAGAGCGTTTTGATCATCCTTTCTTAAGTTGAAAGGGTGGCAAACGTGATGGCCTGCCTGATGGTAAGCGGCCACCATAGCCTATAGACTCTTGAAAATATATCTTTCGCGACGTTGCCTACCCTGACCCGATCCCCTACCCCTCGGAGCCCTCGAACCAGGGCTTGAAACCGGTTTCAAAAATACCGGTAAATAAACCGGTTTTTAGTAAAGGTTTCGTTCGGAGCGCGTCCGAAATGAAAGCGGTACCTAAAACCTTAATAAACCGGTTTAATCCAGAGAGACACGTGCACACGTCGGCATCGCTTGAAGTTTTTTTGTTTGTACTAATCAAGTCACAACTTGTTAATACTCAGAGATTGATGCATTTATTGACATGTTTGCTAGCGAGTCAAGTTATTCATTTGTAGTTGTGTATTTATTTCAGCCGTCAGTAAGAGCGAAATGAGACCATTTAAAAACCGCTAAATTGATTCAAAACCTATTTGATTTCGCTTTTTAGGAAAACCGGTTTTTTAAAGTTAAGGTAGAGCCAAATCTTAATAAAACGCTCCTAATGTACTTGATACTGATTTAGGTTTGAAAATTAACCGGTAAACAAGCCCTGCCTGTAACCTTACTCACCGTCAAAAGGTAGTATTATTTTTTACTGCGGTCTTTTGTAAGGTGGAATATACTTCCAAAGACGGGCGCTCCAATTCATTCAATCAATCAATTCAAAAAATGGTTAACGTGACAGAGTCGGAAAGTGTTTATATAACTTGGGTAAATTACAAAAATTACATAATTTTGGACAGAATTCAAATAATATAGTTGTGGCCGTGTTGGAATTTGTTTTTGTAGTATTTTTTAAGCTGTAAGATAGCGCCAGGGCAGGTTGCATAATTGGTATGTGTTTCCGCCTGGTTAGCGAAGATTGCGGGTTCGAGTCCTGTCTGCTTCCTGGACTGTATTGAATTTTTTCTAGTAAAACATTCTTTATATTTAAACATCAAGTAGTTAAATGCTTCAATATAATAAATGTACTTATCATAATTTTTATTTTTTAGGCATGTAACTGCTTGATGTTTAAATAGAAATAAAATATAATGCTTATAGTCTTATTAGTCAAATTGACGTGCTAGGTATTATTGGAGCAGTGGCATCTTTCATTCTAGGCAGTCTGCTGATTAGTCAAAATGACGTGTTAGGCATTATTGCAGCAGTGGCATCTTTCATTTTAGGCAGTTTGCTTAGTAGTCAAAATGTCGTGTTAGGCATTATTGCAGCAGTGGCATGTTTCATTCTAGGCAGTCTGCTTATTAGTCAAAATGACGTGTTAGGCATTATTGCAGCAGTGGCATGTTTCATTCTAGGCAATCTGCTTATTAGTCAAAATGACGTGTTAGGCATTATTGCAGCAGTGCCATGTTTCATTCTAGGCAGTCTGCTTATTAGTCAAAATGACGTGTTAGGCATTTTTACGCAGTGGCATGTTTCATTCTAGGCAATCTGCTTATTATTAGTCAAAATGATGTGTTAGGCATTATTGCAGCAGTGGCATGTTTCATTCTAGGCAGTCTGCTTATTAGTCAAAATGACGTGTTAGGCATTTTTACGCAGTGGCATGTTTCATTCTAGGCAATCTGCTTATTATTAGTCAAAATGATGTGTTAGGCATTATTGCAGCAGTGGCATGTTTCATTCTAGGCAGTCTGCTTATTAGTCAAAATGACGTGTTAGGCATTATTGCAGCAGTGGCATGTTTCATTCTAGGCAGTCTGCTTATTAGTTAAAATGACGTGTTAGGCATTTTTACGCAGTGGCATGTTTCATTCTAGGCAATCTGCTTATTATTAGTCAAAATGATGTGTTAGGCATTATTGCAGCAGTGGCATGTTTCATTCTAGGCAGTCTGCTTATTAGTCAAAATGACGTGTTAGGCATTATTGCAGCAGTGGCATCATTCATTTCAGGCACTGTGCTCATAACCCTACTTCATTTTAGTTAATGAAGGAATACAACATAACATAGATCGTTATACTAAAATAATTAGTACGGATTCAATTTAAAGTGTTTAGTTTGCTCTGTATTTAAATGATATAAAATGTTCGTTCAGCATTCAGTTAACACGTTAGGAATTCCAGCCGCCATTAGCATAACATGAATTTGTAATTGTGCCGAAGCAACGCTTGAAAAACATTGAAAATTTTCATGGAGATTCGGCTCAAGTCTTCTGATGATTCAATTATGTATATTAACTCATACAAGCGAGACATACTGGAAAGAAGGAAATTAGAAAAGTGCTATCCTTAAAAATATACCGTAGGATGATTTGATATAATATATCTTTTCGAAAATGTCCACGATTTCGCAAATGCGAAAATTACGAAAACGTGGATAAGACAATGGTGGACAAAAGTTATTCACGAAGGAATCTTACGAAAAAAGTTAAACTTTAGTAAGTGCTCGCTAAGTACAAAGCAAGCGACTAGAAAACAAAAACTTATAATAATATTATGAATATTTGATTCTGAAAACCAACGAAGTGTGATAAATTAATTATAAATGAGCGTTAGAAATGGCAACAGGATCCTGAAATAATGAGGTTGGCGGTATCCTGAAATATTTATAGGACAAAGCGGCATTGTGAGCAGAAACAAAGAAAGGGCAGTTTCTTTTTTTTTTTGAGTGTTTATGCTGTTGGTCGCAGGTGACATTTACAGCGTCACCGGGTTTGGGGACAGCGAGATCCTAAGGGGACCTCAAGCCGAGAATTGGCGAGTGCCTCTAGATGTATTCCAGGCGGATGGCAGCTCTCCACGGAGGGAATTTCCTCTCCGTCTGGATTCTCTAGACCACTCTAACCTGAGGTGGTCGACTCAACTAGAGGGCGTCAGCGTCACTGAGACTCGGACCCTAGTTAGCCGTTGTCGTGGGGGGCGGGGAAAAACGCCCAGGTACTTGTACCTGTACCTGGTATAGCATGTCGTATGTCGACCAGGTTGCAGACCTTGGCTCTAAAGGGCTGTTAGGGCGAGTACAGAATCAGAGCTCTAATTCTATCCAACTACAGCGAGGGGTGAGGCAGGGAGACGTTATATCTCCGAAACTGTTCACTGCTGCGATGGAGGATATTTTTAAGCTTCTGGGCTGGAAAGGACTCGGCATTAATATCAACGGCGAGTGCCTGACACACCTTCGATTTGCCAATGACGTAGTCCTAATGGCGGAGACCTTGGAAGACCTGAACACCATGCTCGAGCATCTTAGTGACACATCCCAGCGAGTGGGTCTTAAGATGAACATGGACAAGACGAAAATCATGTCCAACGCCCATGTTGCACCCGCTCCAGTTAATGTTGGGAACGTTACACTTGAAGTTGTTGACCACTACGTTTACCTAGGACACACAATCCAGTTAGGTAAGTCCAACTCCGAGAAAGAGATCTCTCGTCGAATCCAACTCGGATGGGCAGCGTTCGGGAAGCTGCGGAACATCTTTGCGTCCAGTATACCTCAGTGCCTTAAGACGAAAGTCTTTAACCAGTGTGTGTTGCCAGTGATGACCTGTGGCAGTGAGGCGTGGTCGTTTACTATGGGTCTCATAGGACGGCTCAAGGTCGCCCAGCGGGCAATGGAGAGAGCTATGCTTGGTGTTTCCCTGCGTGATCGAGTCAGAAATGACGAGATCCGTAGGAGAACTAAAGTCACCGACATAGCTCGAAGAATAGACCAGCAGAAGTGGCAGTGGGCGGGACACATAGCGAGGAGAACCGATGGCCGTTGGGGCGGAAAGGTTCTCGAATGGCGACCGCGTGCCGGACGATGCTCAGTGGGAAGACCCGTTACAAGGTGGACCGACGATCTGGTGAAGGTCGCGGGAAAAGGCTGGATGCGGGCAGCGCAGGACCGAACGTTGTGGAGATCCTTGGGGGAGGCCTATGTCCAGCAGTGGGCGTCGTACGGCTGATATGATGATGATGATGACCTGCTCACTTAATAATACAAGATTTCCTTATTATAAGTACGTGAAAAAAGGATAAAGCAATATTTATACAAACTGTAGTTGGTACTTGTATGCGTTTCTTTGTGAGGTCACAATTACAATGCGGCTGGCTATTTTGTGGGATTATGGCACGTGTTATTTCAAACATTCACCATACAAAGTTAAATTTATCTACAGGCAGAGAAATTATTAAAAGAGTGAAAATTTGTATACTACATAGTGAAACCCATTTTAAAGATTTAGTCCAGGCAACGAAAAGGTATAGAGGGAAATGCTTAGAACACAATTTTTGACTTCGTAACTTTGTTACGACTAGTTAGGAGGTAAACATATCAAAAGTCCGTAGCCCTTAAGCCGGGGGGAAGGGGGGGGGGGGGATTGAAGGTCCCATTTTTAGGTTTTTCGCATATATTTCGGAAACTATGCATCCTAGCACAAAAGTGAAAGCTGATTAAATTTGCTACAAGTCTTATTCAGTCAAGTTTTTTGATATCTTGTATAGTTTTC